CTGAATCAGCTAGGTGAGCCTTCAGCTGACTCAGCTGGCTAGGATCAGGCTCTCAGCTGACCTGGCAGGTGCTGCTGGCTGCCAACCCAGCTCAGCTCAAGGAGAGAAGAGCATTTGGGCAGTTTGGCTCAGGCAACAGCACCTGCAGCATCCTACAGCTAGGAAGTTAACAGAGCAACTGCAATGTTTTGCTTCCCCTTACTTCAGCTGCCTGTGTTTTCCCTGGGAACTCAGCTGGCTAGGATCAGGCTCTCAGCTGACCTGGCAGGTGCTGCTGGCTGCCAACCCAGCTCAGCTCAAGGAGAGAAGAGCATTTGGGCAGTTTGGCTCAGGCAACAGCACCTGCAGCATCCTACAGCTAGGAAGTTAACAGAGCAACTGCAATGTTTTGCTTCCCCTTACTTCAGCTGCCTGTGTTTTCCCTGGGAAAAACACTGCAGTTACCAGCATTTTCACTTTTTTCCTTCTGTCTTTCAAAACAAGGTTTGTATCTTACTTGGAGGTGTGGCATACGTGAGAAATTCCAGCACTTAGCTCTGCCTTATCCATGCTGTGACTCCCCTCTTGACTGGTCTTCACACTGAAAATAGTTTCGCAGCAGCTCATGCTGCTGCTCGGTCTTTCCATGGAGGTTCTTTTGTTGGCATCAACTCCATGAGCTTCTCTTGCCATGTACTTAGCTGCTAGAAAAATCATGACTAAGACGGGAAGAAGTATTTGATAATTACTGGGATTCAATGTTGTAACATTTTATAGTCAGAATATTGTAAGGTAAGCACAGGGATTTAAAAGGTCCTAAACCTACCCTTTGACTGATAGCACAATGACTTGCCACTGCTGGCAAATATGCAATGTTTCTATGTACCTTTTTTTTTAAATTACTAAAATATTTAAGCAGCATTAGGAATGTTTTTGGAACGTAGAGGAGTAATATGGCTGCTCTTGATATGGGTTTGCCACTAATGGAATGGACTCATGTCTTGTACAGTCAGTTTTGCATTCTTTCTGTGTTAGATTAACTTCAAAGACCTCAAATTGACAGTTGCCCCTGTAGTAGTTTGAATCACTAAATACAAATGGCTGTTTTTCCCTTTGCCTTACTGGAATTGCTGTATTGTTTGGATGACAGCTAACAAAGCAAGTATTCATATGCTTTGCTGTTATTTTAACAGAAATTGGATGCTGTTTCAAATGTAGAATAATTGAAAATTTCTAGGCTTAAGGTCTCTTTAAAAACAACAGTAAAGTGAACAGTCTCAGCCGCATGAAATCAGATGTGTTTAACATTAAAAAGTTATTGGGTTACCTGACTTATCCATATGTCTAGCCATAGAAACCTTGGCTTGGTTTTTCTGTTGAGTTAAAAGTAATTGCATCAGTGCTTTCTCTGTTGCTTTGATAGATGATCTTTAAACTTCTTTCTTTGCAGAGTCTTTGCTTCATATAGCACAGTTTTGCTGCCAGTTGCAGGAGCTAAACAGAAAGAAGAAAAGTGTCCTACAATGTATCTCTGCCTCAGAGGCAGATGCACATCACTTCTGATTTGCTTGGTATTGTTTTTAGAAGTGGCATAACTGGTATTCAAGCAGAGAGCAACAGATGCCCTTACTAACAAAGGGAAGCACTGCATGGTGGTGCAATAGAGATGGTGCCAGGCTGAGGCACCCCAGGGTAGGTCTGTGTTGGCTTTAGCCACAGTGATGCACTGTTTGATACAATTTTGCTTCATTCAGAACACCTTCTCAGGAGTGGTGCTATCTTATGCACAGCACTACACTAATATGGCTATTGCTGTTTGAGAGCTAGTATGCACGGCACTAACATGACGTTGCAATACAGCTGTCTTGCCCTGTATAGCCCTACTCTGTCTCCAGATAGTGCTGCTGCCAGCTTCTTGCAATGATATAAGCCCAGGCATATGATACTGCAGACTCGTCTAGCAGAGGTATCGGGAGGAACATAGGAGGTCAACAGATGTAGAAGGGGTGTTGACCTTCTAAATTACAGCACTGAACTTATGATTCAATGAAAGCAAGCAGTGACAACTGCCAGAAAATGGATATTAATTGCACTGCTGAAAACAGGTTTGATGGTCTTAAAATGATACCATTTGTGTCTGCCTAGCAACGGCTATATTCATTTCTAACTGGCAGCGCTATGAGTAGAAAGAGGGAAATGCTATTTCACTCTCCAATAACAATAATTATTTACATCAGATTCAATTGTCAGGACACTGCATATTGCTTTGATGCAGATACCTGGGCTACTCTAAGCCAGCACCGTGTCTTTTAAAACTTTCTGGAAGGCTTTAGTTTGAGTTTAATAATGGGATTTTAAATTTATTTAAGAGCCAATAACCTGAAGAATTTGAAGAAGAAAAATTCCAAAAATTGAGAATCTCTTAGAAGGATCCTGGAGCAAGGGATATCATGCATACATTTTTGGCTCCAAACTAAAATTATCATGTTGGTTAATGGCATTTTGAGTGGCTTAAGATGAGGCTTCTCATGTAAATAGCAAAGCTGTATGAATTATCAGTTCATGGCAACCATGAAGATTGCTTTTGAAGCTATACAGGTAGTTAAGGGAGCCACAGGATAGGG